AAAACTTTAGCAATTCTGTGAAAAAGAAAGGATCTATCTCATTGTTAATTGGAAATGTTGAGTACTTTGGATGGCTAAACGATCTTTCATAAATTTTTCTCTATCGCTATGACGTATTAAAACTATTGTAGCCTTATACAATCGATTCGTAAAATTATTTTTTTACTAATTAAAATTTACTTCCGACCTATTCCAACTAATTGACTAAAACATTCTAAGTAGCACTAATCATTCATTGACCATTCTTCGCTCAAAGTTTTTAAAAAAAAGTTCAGCAACTTTTTTATTTATATTTCTTTAAGCAAATTTCTCATAACTACATAACTAAATTTGATAGGCTTTTTTATTTCAATTCTAAATATCTGTTATTTTATCTTCGTTCAAAGTTTTAAAAAACTTGTACAAATCACTGCATATCGATATGAAAACAATCGGGTGCCAGCAAATAAATTACTAACCAGTTCGAAATGAACATGTGTAAATTAATCATATAAGAATGCATATTGTCCTACAATATGATGCTTTCTGGTTTTATGCACAATGTCATAAATTTTTTAAATTTTTCCTTTTTTAGGCTATAAAAAGAAAACAAGTCCAAAATCGGATTATCAACACAATATAGCAATAAGAACAAAGCATTTATTAGAGGAGAAACTTGAAACATTAAATTGATCAACACATAGGTATGGAAATAAAACAGACTTTCGCAAAAAAATTAAAAATATTATTAAAAGTTTAATAGTACACTTTTTTATTTTTATATGTCTCTGATGTCTCTGAATGATAATAATAACATTCTTCATATTCTTCTTCATATTCTTCTGATCGATAGTGTCTTTTATATTTATCTGAACATTGCTTTTTTGAACGATGCACTGCTGTTGTATATGGCCTATAATTTTTTGAACTACGCGTATATGATCTATAAATTTTTGTAGGTGTGGCAATTGAAGAAGTGTATGCTGGAGATTTGGTTGTAGATGTCATTGTGATCTTCGAAATGTTTGATATAGTTTTCGAAATTGGTAATGTTGTAGTTGCTGGTGACACGGTATTATTTTCGCCTCCAATCTTAATATCAGAACACTGTAAATACAATTCTCCATTTAATGCCGAATTCCACACCCACCTAAGTGTACATTTTTCGCACGTTACTCCAGTTGGTAACTGCACATTATCATTAAACGTTCCAATTTCATCTGCGCAATTCGAATATGATTTTAATTCTTGAAATTCTGAATCTTTGCCATTTGTCGAGAGTTGAACACTGCAGTTGCCCTGATGTGCTGTAAAAATTTTCCATGTTATAGGAATAAGTTGGCCGGATTGATATGTTGCGACTATAGAACCTGCTTCAAATCCTGAACAAGGTTGTTGAGTTGTTGGTCCAGCTGTCATTTGCAAAATGTCGTTATCAAAACTGAACATACGGATCTTTGGATTAACAATGACCCCGTGCGCGAAGGTTTTTTCAACAAAGTAAAAAAAGGTTATTATGGTGATTATTCTTTTGATCAACGTTGAAGTGTTACTTATCGGAAATCTCTTGGTGAACGACATATATGATGGCGGAAAATTGGCTGATAATATTCGCACAACTAATTGTAGTTCTTAGGATTTGTCACAAATCTTTTGATGTTTTTTTTGCGAAAATAATGTAAAGTCCGGCTTCTGGACGTATTATGTGTGATTCTGCTTAAAATGCTATATGAGGATATGTCGGATAGAAGGGGATTGGGTCCTAGGTTCAAGTAATTCCCACAATGTATTTTTTCTTATCAAAAGAAAAAGTGAGAAAGGACCAGATTTAATTTAAAAAGGTTGTGTCTATTTATTGTTTTTTTTTTGTCAAATCTGCATAATATCTTTTGTTATAACGTATAAACAATATCTTTTTTTGTGAAATTTATATTGTTCTCCGAATATAGATCAATTGGGCGTTATTGTAGAACGGTATTCTTTGTAATTCAAAAACGGCTTAAAGATGTCTTTATGCTATTTAATAATGCAAAAATAGTTAATAAGTTTAAAGTCTTTAACTTTTTACTAACTATGCAACTTGTTTGATTGGAAATTTTAAACTATATAAACTTTAAAAATACATTTGAAATAAAGATAAGAATATTATTAATTTTTTAAAGCATAAAAATAATTTTATAGTTGCTATTATAAATTTGGTTTATTTAGTCTCTGCTTTATTATTTACATAATTTTGAGATAGAAATATTATCTAACTAGATATTAATACTAATTATATTTATTTAATATTTTTAATTACTATTTGATATCTTATAATCAATATCTAGATTTATAACATTTTTAATTTTAATAATTTATTAATAAAAAAGTTGTTATTAAAAAAGTTTTATTATTTTTACTTTTATTTTTTATTTTTTACTTTTAAGACAGTTTATATTGCTAATAAATTTTTATTAATTTGTATTAGAATTATATGTAGATGAACAAAAAATTTTATCTACTCTCTTTATAAATTATTTGAACCAAATTCAGAGCTAAAAAAAAAAACCAAGATAATTCAAGAACAGTTATAAAAAACACTATTTAGACTTCTAAGTAATAAAGAAGAAGACTAAAAAATATATCTACTTTATTAAAAGAATAGAAGTAATAAAAACAACAGCTTAAATAATAGAAGATTTTAAACCAAAATACAACAAAAAAAAAAATTTGGTAAATTTTTTAGAAAAATCAAAAATACTTTGAATTGCAAATTAGTTATTTAATACAAACATATAGAAATTAGTATAAACAAATAAATATATTTTGAAAATTAAAAAGATATATTATGTACTAACTAAAAGAAAGAAGAAGTTTAGTGATCTTAGTGTAGTGGTTAGGTTGTCAGACTGCTATATAAGAGGTCTGGAATTCAAATCCTACTGTCAACAAGTTTGAATAATTACTCAGACTTTTGTATCCAACTTATGGTAAACTCTGTTTGTTTCTGGGAGTTGTAACCTTGTAAATCACATTGCACCAATATCAATCGGACATTGGAAGTATGACACAATACTCGAGTTATATTGTACAAATAAATCTTGATAGGA